ATTTAAGGGCTTAATCGTTCAAAATATGAATGTTCATTGGGTTTTTTTTCCGGATTTTTTTTCACTATTTTACCACTTTAACTAGTTGTACAAGTCATAAGAATGTATCCAACATGTTTTATAAAAGTTCAAGAAGTTATTTAACATGTTTTGGATTGTTCAATGACTTATTTGTTCCAAAAATTGTTCAAGGACTTATTTAACATATTTTGGAATGTCCAAGGACTTATTTGTTCCAAAAATTGTCCAATGACTTATTTAACATATTTTGGAATGTCCAAGGACTTATTTGTTCCAAAAAATTGTCCAAGGACTTATTTAACATGTTTTGGAATGTCCAAGGACTTATTTGTTCCAAAAAATTGTCCAAGGACTTATTTAACATGTTTTGGAATGTCCAAGGACTTATTTGTCCAAAAAAAAGTCTAAGGACTTAATCATTCCAAACAAGAAAGTCCATTGATTTTTATTGTACTTTTCCCTTTAAATAAATAGAAGATCTAGTCTTTTCCCAGTCATCATATACGGCCATTACGCCCATCTCTGACCACCACCACACCGTGACACACACACCAAACTCAAACACAAATCAGTACCTCAAAATAAATCACAAACCCAAATCAAAATCAGAACAATAAAACAAATTCAACCCCAAATAACCAAAACTGGATTTCAAAAACCAAAAAACATTTAGTTATCACCACCAACTATCAACCACCAACCATTGTTCTATCACCATCCACCATCATCAAAACTACCACGCTGTCAAACCTACCACCCAACACCATAGAAACCACTATTAACACCAGCTAAGTTAACCACCACCCAAACCCATTAGAACCACTTCCACGAACACAAATCGAGATGAATAAGTGCACAAATAATTTGAATTTATGATCATCAAATTTGTACAGTATTAATTTGTTTCTAATGCCCTAAACTAAACTCAAAAACCCTAAAATAAATTAAAAATCTTCATTCTCAATAAAAAAAACCCAAAACTAAATCAAAATCCTGATTTATTATGACCTCTAAAATCGCAAGTCAGTCTTATAATCTAAAAGGAATGTGTCGCATTAGAGCCTTGTATAAGGAGGATTTGCATTGGAGATGGTGGCGACAGTGAATGAGGCCCTACACCAGAGAGGTGGATCTGGTGAGAGGTGGCGATCAGAAATGAGATTTTACATGGAGACAAAGATGGTGAAAAGGGTTGGGCTGTTTTAGACATAGTCAAATGGGTCCGACCCGGCTTCCAAACGCCAAAAGATCGGAACTGGGATCAACTTGGCACTGGCTCGGCCCGGGATCGGTTTGAGCCTGGTCCAACCCGAAACTGTTTTTTGGCCATCTCTAGATCCAATTTTGTTTTACTTTTATAAGTTTTAAAATTGGTATTACATAGTTTGTTATTTAAACCCTTTTCTATATTTTATTAGACAATAATAATAATGATAATAATAATAATAGTAACAATAAGGGTGAATTACATTTTTAGTTCACATGGTTGTTATTTACTATCAAGTTTTGATGTTTATTTTAAACTAATTATAGTTCACACAAACATAGGATTTGAAATCACATGTATGTGGTTTGTATTTTACGAGATTTCATAGGATTTGTATGTAATAGTGTTTTAAAATATGTTAAAAGAATTTGTTTTGTAATAATTAATTAATAAAAAAATACTTTAATAATTTTGTTGTTGATTTTTTCGAATTCTATTAATAGATGTATATATATCATACAAATATTCGTAGTCCCGAGTCGGAAAACGCCAAAAACAGGGGCAAACACGTTGATGCCAACTTGTTTCCTAATAAACGAGAGGTTGCATGATAGACTCACAGCTGGGAGAGCAGATTCTGCATATCTAGCCGTGGTTCGCACTTGGCTACCAACGGTTCAGCCTTGGGCAAGGTGAGCCCAGGAGCTTCGCTCATATCGATCATCTTTTCACTCATTCTATTCCAATCGAAGCATTGGATTAGTAACCCAAGGGTTGAACCAAGCACACGAACCGCCAACCCTTCCCCTGGACAACTCCTCCTTCCAGACCCGAATGGCGCCAGCTTGAACCCGTCTCGTGTTCCTTCTACCCCTTCAAACCTTTCCGGGTTGAACCTTTCGGGCTCAGTCCACAGCTTCGGGTCGTGATGTATGGCCCACTGGTTCACGAGAAGCATGGTCCCACTTGGGATGTTATAGCCCCCGACAACACAATCCTCTGATGACTCGTGAGGAACTAGTAACGGGCCTGCAGGGTACAATCGGAGCGTCTCGTTTATGATACAACGGAGGTAAGGTAGATCGGCTACGTCAGACTCGTCAACGAGACGATCTTTGCCGACTTTTTGATCGATCTCGTTTTGTGCCTTTCGGAGAACTTGTGGGTTGTTTAGCAAAAGAGCCATGGCCCATTCCATCGTTCCAGCCGAAGTATCGGTGCCTGCCGATAATAGCACCTGATCACCATAATCATTCCTTTAGATCTCACAAGAATCAGAAACAATTTATACATCTATTTACACACTTTTTTCTTGATTCACAGGAGGGATCTTAAAGATTGGTAATCAAGAATCTTTGATGCTTAAAGTTCTTCCTTCAAGAAGTCTGAAGAAATTTCAAGAATCAGATCAAGAACACATTTTTTATAGCAATAATTTGTGGGTTTCGTTCTAATCTTCAATAAAGATCGAGAACACATCTTTTATGGAAACAATTCTGCAGAGATTTCAAGAATCTGATCAAGAATACATTTTTTATGGAAGGATTCTAAGAAATTTCAAGAATTTGATCAAGACACTAAAAAAATTGAGTTTATATAACACAAAAAATGTCTGAGTGCTCTAATAGACTACTTTATAGTTTATAGAAGTTAAATTTATAGAACCAAACATTTGTGTCATATCTAAGATGTCGTAATAAATTCATGACATTTTTTGCCGTCTTAAAGAACTTTTTAGACCACTTTTGAAACAAAGCGTCTTTTTATTTGAAAAAAGTGTAGATGTCAACATCAAAACTTAATTTTTTACATTTTCAATTCATGATTTGAACTCGTTCCGACTTAAATTGGGTTACATATAGTAAAGCCTAAAAACAAATGTCCTATAAAGAAGTGTTTATAGGATATTATTTGAAAAATATCTTATAAAACAGATTTCCTCTAAACAAATGTGTTTTAAGACATTTTGTTTCAAGAATGTCTTAAAAAGTTTGCTACGACGACTAAAAGTGTCTTATAAACTTATTACAACAGTTTTAGATAGAACAAAATAATAGTCCAGTAGAAAACACAACACTCTTGTCGTCCTGTAAATTCAACTTTGTTATAATGAAAACTCACTTTTTATGGACTCAATTCACGGGTTCCATTCTAATAAACCAAAAATCTAGATTCAGTTGACTAAAATTAATCTAGAATAGAACTCGAAAGACTTTTAAGAACCAGATCAAGATCACATTTTGATGGAAGAAATTTCCAGAACCAGATCAAGATCACATTTTTGATGAAAACATTAATGGGTTTCATTCAAATCAACCAAAAAAAGTTGTAGATTCAATAATTCTTTTTGACTGAAAAATTGGAAGACTTTTTGACTTTTGAGTACTCATCTAGAAGTCAATATGGGCTGCTCAAAATGGACAAAAAAACAGACAACAAGTCAGTTCACAAGTCAAGCCCTTTATTTATTGTGCATAAAAACAATTTTCAATATCATAAGGTTTGACTAATAATCACAATTCAGACCATGCTTCTTTGATTCCCCTTTTCATACGGCAGAACCTCTGCACGTCTCCACAACATCATGCTTCCTTGCTAAGTTTCCATTATTATGTAAATAAAGAATATGTTTAAATAAAAAAACTAAATATTATAAGAAGGTAAGAAAAGAATCTTAATGGATGATTCATATGTGAATAACCTATTTAAAGATGTATAATTGAACTGACGTTAACGATTATTCACATATGAATCTTTCTTTAATCTTTAACTCACGCACCCTCCTAACCTTTGTTGAGGTTTGAAACTTTGACTTCCTAAGAGACCGCTACACCAAAGGCCATTTGGTTTAATATTTAACTCTTCTAATTTAAACCTTCCATTATATAAAAATGTTTGTATATATACTATTGTTTTCTTGGATAGTTGAATTTTCTTTAATGTATTTCACATGGATTAATCAATTGTTTACCTAAAGAGTTGGTGGATAATAAATATAATTATTTTGTTTCAACTGTCATTATCATCAAATATCAAAATCTTGAATTCTTCGCGAAGAAATGCAACTTTTAGTATCTGATTATATACGTCTAAAATGTCTAAGTATCCTAATAAAATACTTGATAAAACTTAAGTTCTCAAAAGTCAAACCATAAAAATATTACATCTAAAAGTGTTACGAGTTTATAAGATCATTTTAAATGTTTTAACAAGTTCTTCGAGACATTTTAAAAATAAAGTGTACATTTTAAAATAAAGTTATACAAAATAGCTAACGTGACACATTATTTATTTAAAATCACTTTTGAAAACTTGTTAAAACATCAAAAACATACTATAAACTTATTGTAACATATTTGTACACAGGACACTAGCTATGTTTTGATCCTATAAGCCGAAGTCTTGTAAAACACCATTATGTGACACTTATATTTATTTTAACTGTTCTATAAACACAATTTTGTTGTAGTATGGCTGAAAATTGGAACAACAAAATTAGGTTTATAGGAAGTTTATACCGTCAACGGCCCAAACACTTACTAGGTAAGCGTTTACCGGCAAAATTAACAATATCATTTACTTAACTAGTAAGATTTTAGTCTATCAAAACGACATCGTATGCAACAATATACCCGTTAAGCACTTACCGTGGTAAGAGTCGTTGCCCTCACTTATCGGGTAAGACTCTTAGTCCTTGTCTCGCTTTTACCGGGTAAGATCCTTGTTCCTTATCATATTCATCCGTTAATGTAATGTGATTTGATAAGCACTTACCCGAGTAGCATTTAGTAAACAATAGATTTATAAAACGTTTTTATTTATTTTAGTAGAGATTTTTAGAATTTTTTTAATATGATGTGGAATATTGGAACAAAAACAGAAGAGGGATGTTACCAGAATAAGGCTTCGGATCATTGCATCGGTGTAGTATTCGGGATCTGATTCTTGTAACGATAATAACACTTCAATCATCGTTTTCTTCTTATTTTCACTTTCACCCCCTTTAGATTTTCTAAGTTGCTCGATTAACCCTTGAAAGAAAACATCCCTCTTCTCCTGCAGGGCGATCAACTTGTTCTTCAATCCCTTCACCCCCAACCAACCCAAAATCGGCAAGTAATCAACGATGTTGGCAGCACCGGCGAGCAAAAATGTCTGGTTCAGTATCTCCCTGAACCGTTTCCCTTCTTCATCCACCGCCGGAATATCGCCGCCGAAGTACCTCTTCCCGGAGATCATCCTCATCATCACGTTCAGCGTCAGTTCATAGAAAACCGATTTCATGTTCACCGGAGAAGAAGAAGCGGATAGCAGTTTACGGATCAGCAGCTTACCTTCATCGACGCGAATATCGTGGAATTCGTTGAGGCGGTGAACAGATAGGATCTCGACGGTGGCGATGCGGCGGAGGTTGCGCCAGTTATCGCCGTAAGGGGACCAAGCGAGACTGGTGTAGTTCAAGCCGATGATTTTGCCGAATAGCATCCGAGGGCGGTTAGCGAAGATGATGTCGTTTTTGGTTAAGCATTCTTCGGCGGCGGAAGGGGAGGAGACGATAAGAACACGGCGGGATCCGAAGCGGAGGAGAAGAATGGGGCCGTATTTGGCGGAGATTTTGGCGAAGGTGCGGTAGAGAGGGGCTTTCAGAAGGTAGAGATGGCCGATTATGGGGAAGGATGGGAAGACGGTCGGCGGGAGGTTGGGGATTCTGCGACGGAAGTGAGATGTGAAGAGATAAGAAGCTAGGAGGAGTAGAAGGGAGATGTAGAGATAAGGAACCTCCATTGTTGAAGTTCCAAGTGTGTTCTAATGGCGGATTTGGTTTTGGTTTTATAACGTAAAATAGAAAGAATTGCATTGACTTTGTGTTGAACCTTGGCAAATTTCCAACAATTTTAGGAATGTGACGTGAGAGTTGCCAACAATTTTTAACTTTGAAACCTATCAAACCCAACGCGCTAACTCATTAATAGTATTATTTGGTTAACAAATGATTATCAATCTCTTGCTATATGTATAAGGGCTTTCTTTAAAAAACTATACAATTTATGAGATTCGTGAGATTAAATATAAACTACAAGTTTAAGAAATTATTAATTTTGAATTGAAACATTTAAATAAAGTTTATTATGAATAATTTACAAATATTCTCTCTCGTATCTCCTCTTTCTCTTTCTCCAAGTAAACCTCGTAACTTGACAAACATCTCCAGCTTTACAGGCTTCGCTTTGTCATGATGTCAACAATCTGATCTTTGGTTCCACAGAATACTAGTTTTACAGCTTCCTGATATGTGAGATCACGCAAATAATGGTATCTCATGTCAATATGTTTAGTTCTTCTATGCATCACATGATTCTTCGATAATTTAATAGATGAACTATTATCACAGCAGATCTCACAAGGGATATATCACTAAAATGTTCCAGAAGACCTTTTAACCACACATACTCGGCTTCTGTTAATGATAAACTGACAATAGGCTGTTTTCTTGAAACTCCAACATGTTGCAGCCCTATTTAGCAAAAAAACATATCCTGAAGTGCTACTCATGTCCTCTGCATCTCTTGCATAATCACCGTTAGTGTATGCTTTTAGCTTAACATCACAACCTCTTCCATAAAATAGACCAAAGTCTATTGTTCCTTTCAAATATCTCAAGATTCTGATAGTATCCCATCGAGCCATTGGTGCAAACACCTCGCCATAGTCAACCCCTTCCGTTTGAACATACCCTTTCATGACTAATCTTGCTTTGTGTTTCTCAACCTTCGAATTCTCATCTTCATTTAGTTTGGTTTTGAACACCCATTTAACTCCAATCTTCTTTACACCAGCTGGTAGAGCGAAGCGAAGTGGAATTGGTTCGTACGAGTCCAATTAAGTCAAATTCACCAGCACCGGGGTCAGATACTATATCGGAGAGAATCGTTAAGTTAGTGCCTGCTCAAGTTCCGGTTTCTTCTCTGATTTCTTATCCTCCCCAAAGTTCATTTATTCCTACTCAAAAAACCGCCAAGATCAGGAGTTCGTTGACACTCAACCCGGTGAATATTTCTTACTGCTGGAATTTATTCATATATAGTCATAGTCTATGAGCTGGTTTTGTAAGATGTCTATCATAACCATGGGAGGTTAGTAGCTATCATAAAATAAGAAAGAAATTCTGTTGCAATGGAAACCTTTTCCTTCGGAATTTCGTAACAATGAACAAAATTAGTAAAGTGTGCTCCATATCCATTTTTTTCCTTTGAAAAGCAGAACAAAAGGAAAGGGAGTTTTAAGGCAAGAATGGTATATCCGACCCTTTTTATGCCTTCTCTTTTCTCTTATTTGTTTTTGCGTCTAGAAGTTATTTTAGTTACCAGTTGAATGTCTATAAGTCTGTAATGTTCATATACTTATTCTGCAGGAAGCCATCAGAGCATCATATCCTGCTTTTTAACGTTTATTTGTTAATGCAGCTGGTACTTTTATGTGTAGTGTTTGCATCTTATGCAATTATATTGAGGAATGAAGTCATGAAGCTTCAGGTATTAAATTCTTCGACTCAATTGTTAATGTGTCCATAATGTGCTTATTATCTTTGTCTAATTCACATTTACAAAAAGTTGGTTATTCAAAAATGGAAGGTGGAAAAGAGAGGAGATGTTGTAGTGCTGATTCAGTTCACTGTTCTCTCTCTAGCGACCATGTTCTCAGGGCCGGCCCTGGCCACGTGCAGCCCATGCGGCCGCACAGGGCATCAAAGCCTAAAGGGGAATCAAGTTGTCATTTGTTACTAGTTTTAGGTTTAATAATTTGGAAATTGGACAGCTGAGCTTTAACTATAAAAACAAGCCCAAGACCTGGTAGTGATGAATACTTAATGCACATCGTTGGAAAAAGTTGGAAAAGTTTTTGTTTGTATAAACTTGTCTGTATGAATAAAGTTGTATGTATGAATTAATCTAGATAAGTCACTTTCTATATCATTAAACCACTACGAAACAGTCATGCATAATTGAGCGAATAAACTGTTAGTTCCATTAAACTTATTAAGCAGCTAACATATAGCTCTTAGCCTTTAGTTGTTATACCTGCAACTTTTGAGTTTTACTTTTTGCTTACTATGACAGTAATTTGGATGTAATTTACTATTTTAGTTAAAAACGAATTTAGTTTTCCTTGTCTTTAAAGTCCCATATATTGAAATAAAATTTTAATTTTGCTAATTTCAATTTGGAAAAAGAAAAACTGAAAAAGAAGGAAGTACGGTCTTAACAGGATTTATCCTTTTATATTTTGTATTTGGGGTTTTGGTTTTATGTCCACCCTCCTTGTATTTTTTTTTATAATTAATAAAAATCAACATGGAGACGAAATACTTAACTTGAATAAGTTCTAAACTCTTTAAAAAATCGCATGTTTTGTTGTTTCATTGGCTTAAAAAAAGGCTTAGGGGCATTTTTTATTTTCGAACAGGGCAGGGCATCAAAAATCTTAGGACCGGCCTGCATGTTATAATCAGGTTTCTTGCTTAAAATTGCTAGAAATTAAAAGAGGCTTCTTGTTTTTAGTATAAAAAAACAAGACGGTGACACATTTTGGGCCGTTTGTCATCATGTGCAGCTCCTCACGAGCTTTCCATGTATATCATCATTTTGCGTTGTTGGTTTTACATACTTTGACATCTAACTTTTTCGAATGAAACATAGGTTCGATAATAGACTCACAAAAGCTGTGACAGTAGATTCTGCATCTCTAGCCGTGGTTTGCACTTGACGACCAAGGGTTCAGCCTTGGGCAAGTTCAGTCCAGGACCTTCACTCATGTCAACCATGGCTTCACTCATCCTTTCCCAACTAAAGCATTGGATAATCGAACCCAACGTCACCCCAACCATACGGACGGCCAACCCTTCCCCTGGACAACTCCTCCTTCCGGACCCAAACGGCATTAGCTTGAACCCATCTCGTGTGCCTTCTACCCCTTCAAACCTTTCTGGATTGAACCTTTCTGGTTCGGTCCATAGCTCCGGGTCATGATGGATGGCCCACAGGTTCACTAGAAGCATGGTCCCACGTGGGATGTTATAGCCCGCGACTACACAGTCTTCTGATGACTCGTGTGGAATTAGCATCGGGCCTGCTGGGTACAATCGCAGGGTCTCGTTTATGATACAACGGAGGTAAGGTAGATTAGGTATGTCTGATTCATCAACAAAACGATCTTTGCCAACATTTCGGTCGATCTCGTTTTGTGCCTTTTGTAGAACTTGTGGGTGGTTTAGCAATAGAGACATGGTCCATTCCATGGTTCCAGATGAAGTATCAGTCCCACCTGCTAATAAAACCTGCTCACAATAATCTTTCCTTTAGATTCACTCCAATCAACTCTAAATCGGTTTTATAGGAAATGAATGGACTGTTTTATAGGACGCGTGTCTTATGTAAAAATGTCATAATAAGTTAACTAAGACTAGAATTATATAATCTAAGATATGAATGAAGACTTTGGTACTAATGACTCATCTACAAGTCCAATGAAGAAGCTCGAAAAGGACAGAAAAGATGTCGTGATCGTTATGGCAGGTAGTGATTAATTAGTAAAATCTGTTTGTTTATTTGGAATACCTATCTAATTCTAAGTTGAAAGGTTTGACCATGCTTTCAGATAGTGATAATTTAGACCATATCTGAAGAATCTATCTGATTTCTATCTTTTTATACTGTAGAACATGAACCTTTGCTAGATTTCAGATTTCTAGAACATCATATGCTTCAAAATAGTGATTCATAACTATGTTTGAATTGCTTCTAGCGCACAAGAAACTTCAGCCAAGAAGAATCTTACCAGCACAAAGTTTCGGATCATTGCATCGGTGTAGTATTCGGGATCTGATTCTTGTAACGATAATAATAGGTCAATCATCGTCTTCCTCTTATTTCCCTCGTGATCCCTGCTCCCTTTTCTAAGCTGCTCGATTAACCCTTGAAAGAAAACATCTCTTCTTTCCTGCAACGCGATTAACTTCTTCTCCAATCGATTCACTCCCAAACAACTCAAAATCGGCAAGTAATCGCCAACGTTTGAAGCACTCGCGAGCATAAACGTGTCGTTCAATATCTCCCTTAACTCTTTCCCCTCTTCTAAGTTATCGCCACCGAAATACCTCTTCCCGGATACCATCCTCATCATCACGTTCAACGTCAGCTCATAGAACACCAACTTCACATTCACCGGAGAAGAATCTGATAGCAGTTTACGAATCAAAAGCCTGCCTTCTTCAACGCGTATGTCGTGGAACTCATTGAGGCGATGAATAGATAAAATCTCGATTGATGCTATGCGGCGGAGGTTGCGCCAGTTGTCGCCATAAGATGACGAAGAGAAACTAGTGTAGTTCTGGCCGATGATCTTGCCGAAAAGCATCCGAGGACGGTTGGCAAAGATGATGTCGTTCTTGGTGAAGCATTCTTCGACGGCAGAAGGGGAGGAGACCAAGATGACACGGCGGAATCCGAAGTGGAGGTGGAGGATGGGGCCATACTTGGCGGAGATTTTGGCCAAGGTTCTGTAGAGGGGTGGTTTCAGAAGATAAAGATGGCCGATGAGGGGAAGGGATGGGAAGACGGTCGGCGGGAGGTTGGAGATTCTACGGCGGAGGTGGGATGTGAAGAGATAAGAAGCTAGAAAGAGTAGGAGAGAGACGTAGAGGTAGGGAATCTCCATTGTTGAAGCTCTGGGTTGTGTGTAAATTAATGGTGGATTTTGGTTTTATATTTATCTTGATTATTGTTCTTGTAAGTTACGTTTGCCACGCAACATATGACGGGGTAGAAGTAGAATAGAATAAAAAGCATCGTGTCTTATATAGTATTTGGGTAGATTTAGATTGTGACATGATGAATCAACGCACGAATTGTTTGTCCAATTAAAAAGGGTCAAAACCAAGACAAAGCACATTAGACTAAATTGCAATATTATATACTACATTCATGAGATTGTTTCAAATACAACATGTTGCATTTGTACAACCCAATAAATTAAAATATTTAGGAAATGATTAGACTTCATTTATTATGATGTGAATATTTATGAAAGATGAATATGGTTCATTAATTATGATCAATACTTTATATTAGAAAATAATCAAAACATCTATGAAATCACATATTAATCAAATGAAATGACGGTTGAGATTGGGTTGTATTGGTTACACAAATGTCAAAGGTTGTATAATAACCAACCTCTCTCTCTCTCTCTCTATATATATATATATGGAGATTCAAACGAGAACACATTCATTTTATGAAAATGCGAGAACACCCTTATCACATGTGATAATACGCGTAAGGGAACCCTAATATGTGCGGACGACGTGTTCTACGACTTAGGCCGCACCAAAGGTTGTCTGCATCTATGATTTATGATTACATGTGATGGTCTTGATGGATTATAGTATCATATCAACAACACTCTTATCACATGTGATAATACTTGTGAGGGGGCTTAGTGGTGTAAGGGAGACTTGACCCGCAACCAATATCGCATGGAAAATAGTCTGCGTCTCTAATTTAGTATCATATGTATATCATATGTGATGAAATAATAGTATCACATGTGATTGTCTATAGTTAAAAAGTGTTCTCACGTTCTCATAAAATGAAGGTATTCTAATTTGAACTTTTCTTATATATGGGGGATGAGAATAGTGAAATATATTAATGAAGTTAATTTTGGTAATTATTCATTAATTTTTTTAAAATTTAAATTTATGGATAATATTTAGAGGTAAATTAGTCTTTTCATACATCTCTCTCCTCTCTCCGAAAATCCTTACTCGAGCCAAACTTATTTTGGCGAACACCCAGGAACTTCTAAACAGTAAAACATAAAGCTAGTGTGATACCCAAGAACTTCTAAACAATAAGACACAAACTCATTGTGACACCCTTTGATAAGCATGATATTTTCGTCTTTTCATATATTGATACCACATTTATTAATTATCTCATTTACCTAATTATAACATTTCTTAATTATCTCATTACTTTATTTAAACTTCATTAATTATCTCATTCACTTTCTGATTTCACGTATGAACTTTGGAATTTTTTTTGAAACAACATATCAACTTTAAAAAAAATCATTGTTTCGTATACACAAAAACAAAAAGACTAATTACGGAATGTTTCATACACGGAACAACATTATGACCTTTAAACAAAAATCATGATTTCATCTATCAACTTTTTGGTTTCACATGTGAACTTTGGTAAAAAAAAATCGTAAGAATCAAAGTTTGTAGATAAAACAACACTATTAACTTTAGACAAACACTATATAAAACATAATTGTCTTCCAAAAATAAATAAAAACACCATACAAAGTTTGATGGAACAGTTCAAAATGGAGAGAGAAGAGAACGGTGATGATTATCTTCCCAAAATAAAAACAATTTGTTCTAAAATTTCCCTATATTTAATTCAGTTTAATTTCTTTTATTTTTCATCATTTTATAACCTCCCATTTGAGCATACAACCGTGGGTAAAAAATGAATGTCTCAAATTAGTTTGTAAAATTAATACTATTTATTTGGTTAACAAATGATTATGCCTTTTCCTGTCTCTCTCTCTCTCTCTCTCTCTCTCTCTCTATATATATATATATATATATATAAAAGGTTTAGGTTCAAAGAAAAACCATAGAAAATGAAAAATCGAAAAACCCTTTAATAACTGTTTATCTACATTATGCACATCTACATACAAGTAATTTGTCCAATATATATATGTGTGCATAACATGGACACATGCATAAAAATCAAGAAACATCTTCAATTATTTGTATGGACTTTTTTTTATTAACCTGGATATCCAACCCGTTATGCGAGCTGACTAATCCTAGGGCGACCACCTATTTTGCAGGTAGTCCAGAGTCACCGCATTTGAACCTCCATGACCACAAGAGGATTTTTGTTCCTCCTTGGATTTGAACTTGTGATCTCCTGATACTTTTGATATTTGGAGTCAAGCTCAAACCAATCAGCCACCACCCTTGTGGTTAAAATGAAATTACAGAAAATGATGTGTGAATGTTTATAAATACAATATAAAAACAATGGATGAATGTTTAAAAGGAAATTTATTCAAATTGTTAGTATATATGTTTCATTTATAGTACTATATGATAAATAATATTCGTCAAACATTTGTTGAGGCTAATTTGTCGATTTTTACATTTTTGTCATATTTTGTTAAATTCAAGCTACCAACTACTATATAAACCATTTATCTAATCACTAAACATTAAATAGAAAGTTTTGTTCTCATAATTAAATCTTAGGACAAGAAAGTTGCTATTGGTTCTACATACTTGCCATCTGAATTTTTTGAATTTGATCGAGTTGGTTGTTTGTTTATCTCTTAATAGTTCTATTAAGATGAAGCATTCTGAATCATTAAAAGGTGAATCTTGTTTGTCAAAAAAAATATGTCTCTTAATGGTTCTAAAACCTTCTGAATGATTTTGTATTTAGGGCCTCGTTTCACCATTCGATCAACACCCTAATATCATTCTGATTAATTACCAAACAATTAATTATATTTCATTTTGCATTAAATCATAAAACCCTCTTAATCATTCACCGTTTGACCATTCAACAACTTCCACATACAAATATTCATAAACCCATGCCAAAAAAGGCTACAAACAACGTCAAATGCACCAACACCAAACATAAGTTTGACAACGGACTCACAGCTGAGACAGTAGATTCTGCAACTCTAGACGCGGTTTGCACTTGGCTACCAACGGTTCAGCCTTGGGGATGGTGAGTCCAGGACCTTCAGTCATGTCAACCATGGCTTCACTTGGCCTTTCCCAATCAAAGCACTGGATAATCAAGGCCAAAGTTACCCCAACCATACGAATCGCCAACCCTTCACCTGGACAACTCCTCCTTCCGGACCCGAACGGCAACAGTTTAAACCCATCTCGTGTGCCTTCTAGCCCTTCAAATCTTTCTGGATTGAACCAATCTGGATCTGTCCACACTTTCGGGTCATGTTGGATGGCCCATTGATTGACAAGCAGCATGGTCCCACTCGGGATGTTGTAACCCCCGACAACACAATCCTCTGATGATTCGTGTGGAATAAGTATCGGGCCTGGAGGATACAATCGCAGTGTCTCATTTATGATGCAACGGAGGTAAGGTAGATTAGGCATGTCTGATTCTTCAACAAAACGATATTTGCCAACATTTCTGTCAATCTCGTTTTGTGCCTTCTGCAGAACTTGTGGGTGGTTTAGCAAAAGAGACATGGCCCATTCCATGGTTCCAGATGAATTGTCAGTCCCACCTATTAATATTACCTGATCACAGTAATCATGCTCTTAGATGTCATTATAATCAGAAACAGCTTATCTACATCCATCTGCACACTCATCTTGGTTCACAAGATGGGTCGATGTTCCTTGAAATGGTGATTGATAACCAAGTTTCAATTGTTTTTAGCACACAAGAAACTAATTCAGCCAAGAAGGATCTTACCAGCACAAAGTTTCGGATCAATTCATCGGTGTAGTATTCCGGATCTGATTCTTGTAAAGACAACAACACTTCGATCATATTCTTTCTCTTGTTTCCGACTTGATCACCTTTCCCTTTTCTAAGCTGCTCGATCAACCCTTGGAAGAAAACATCCCTCCTTTCCTTCAACGCGATTAACTTCTTCTCCAATTCATTCACTCCCAACCAGCTCAAAATCGGCAAGTAATCGCCAACGTTTGAAGCACCCATGAGTACAAACGTGTCACGCAGTATCTTCTTGAATTCTTTCCCTTCTTCCTCCAATTTATCACCATCGAAATACCTCTTCCCAGATATCATCCTCATCATCATATTCAACGTATGTTCATAGAAAACCGACTTCACAGTCACCGGCGAAGAAGAATTAGACAACAGCTTATGAATCAGAAGCCTGCCTTCTTCAACGCGTATATCCTGTAACTCATTAAGGCGGTGAATGGATAAAATCTCGATTGATGCTATGCGGCGGAGGTTGCGCCAGTTGTCTCCGTAAGATGACCAAGCCAAGGTAGTGTAGTTCATGCCGAGGATCTTGCCGAATAGCATCCGGGGGCGGTTGGCAAAAGTGATGTCGTTCTTGGTTAAGCATTCTTCGGCGGCGGAAGGTGATGAGACCAAGAGGACACGGCGGGATCCGAAGCGGAGGTGGACGATGGGGCCGTACTTGGTGGAGATTTTGGCCAAGGTTTTGTAGAGGGGTGGTTTCAAAAGATAAAGATGGCCGATTATGGGGAAGGACGGGAAGACGTGCGGCGGGAGGTTGGCGGTTCCACGGCGGAAGCGGGATGTGAAGAGATAAGAAGCTAGAAGCAGTAGGAGGGAGATATAGAGATAGGGAATCTCCATTGTTGAAGTTCTTAGTGTATGTAAATGGTGGATTTTGGTTTTAGTTTTTATAGGAAATCAAATCCCAAATTTTGGTTTTAGTTTTATAAGGGTGTGTCTAGACAATGATAGGATAGAATAGAACGGATAATTGTTCAACATTTGGTAAAATAAAATTGGATAAATTAAAACAAGTAAAATGACCAATTTACCCATAATGAGTTGTTTATTTTAACTAATTTATGTAATTTATTAAATTATAATGAGTTGTTTATTTTAACTAATTTATGTAATTTATTAAATTATAATAGAATAATTATTTTTTATAACAAAAATATATCATTAGAAAGTTTTCACACATTAAATAAAAAGTTTATGTGGTTTCTAATATTTGTTT